TTTTTCCCGGGTCCTGCAGTAATACATTGATATTAGTACACTTATTTAAAGAATTTCTAAGTTATATCACTGTAGTCATGAGGTAACTGTAAGCTTACCCCAGGATTATTTGTTCATGTCAATTTGGCCCTTGCCACTCGTAACCTCTCATATACATACTGGAAATATGTCAGGCAACTCCTTCTACACAGAGAGAACTGAACCTAGCAAGTTGTGTATGCTGTTAATTTACAGATTATTTTAATTAATTTAAATAGCTCTACGTGGTAAATTAAACTTTTGCTAATAACGGGGCCCAGAATTAATAAAACATGAATAACATATAAACATATATTCTTGAAGATTGCTAAGCTTGAGTACCTGCTGGAAGTTGAGGTACAGGATGATGAAAGGATGGTATAAAAATATCTTTTAAAACCATGCTACAAAAAATACAGTAGCACTGGCGATAGTACGTTTCATACGAGCTGTATTATGAGCTGAGCGATGAAATGCTCGTACTACTGTATTACCTCAGCGATAATATTTTCATATAAGAAACATTATGGCCACTACTACCAGCCATATGGAAAGGTCAGATTGAATGAAATTTAAAAAAAACTTGTGCTGGAACACAGCAGTATCTTGCCAGTTATGTCATACCACATACATAAATGACAAATTAATTTGCTTGTATCTGAACAAAAAAAATGACGTAGCAATGTTTGCAATCCAAATGTGGAGAATTTACAACTGGTGGTTCAGAGTGATGGCTCGAGGCAGTGGAGTACGGGCCGCCGCCTCCCTGGGAGCGGAGATGTCGTATTTGTGGACGATGTGTAGTGTGAATATTATGCAGACAATTCGGAGCTTGGATGTGAGAAAAAGTGTGTGGTCATCAGAAGTGGTTTTTTAGAGGGTTGATGAGGGATTATTTAGGGTATTTTTTGAGTTTTAGGAAGGATGGAAGAAAATATGATTACCAGGAGGGTGGTGGGAATGGAAGGTAGGGGTCGACCTAGGCAAGATTGAAAGGAGGGAATGATAATAATTATAATAATCATAATAAAAATTGAGTATGCTATTGAAGTGAATGGGTTGTTGGGGATGGATTTGACATGTAAAAATTTCTGAATGAAATCAGGGGAAAAATATTAATGAAATTTGAGATGAGAAGATGGGAAGTTGCCTGAAGTTTGTATGTTGAGTGGGGAATGGTGGAGGCGGGGCAGGACAGTGTCCTATGTTTGTATGTGGGGTGGGAATGTTGAAGGTGGGGAGGACAATATCCTAAGTCTGTATGTAAATTACATGTTGTATATGAATGGTATAGAAAAAGACGAGTAGGTGAATAAAACGTACATGGAACACTTGGGTATATTTTCTGTGGAAACGTTATGCCAACCAATGGTATTATTAATGCAATACATCGAGTAATACTGGAGACAGAGAAAGACATGAAGTACTAATCTGAAGTGATCAGTCTCACAACCTTGATGAATTTGTTGGAATCAGTGGAAGATTTGTAGTAGTAGTTTTGAGGAGATCAGTCCCTCAGCCTTGAAAGGACGAGTTCATTTCATCGGTCCATCAAGACTAATAAATTCAGCTACTCCTTTCAAAGCTGAGGGACTGATTACCTCAATCAAGTAACGTTAGGTAGTTCGGTGGGTGATCACTGAAGCAAGAAAAGGAAACACATTTACCATCACTCATTTAATAGCCGTCAAACGAAAAGCTTATATCTTATTTGATCTCTATCAAAGAAATACACTGAAAGATAAGCTAGCAAGGGCTCCATATAGAGATACACATGTGACGTCACATATTACTAAGAGAACGAGTGCTAAACCCGCGAGGACTATACGATGCCCTGGGGACTGGGGTGGTAAGGGAGGAACTAGGCTTGATCCGAGAAAAGGAGAGGTAACTCCAGTTCCTCGGATCAAGATTCCCCCTAAAGGGAACAAGGTTTTTCACGGAGACAGCTTGCGGTACAGGTATGCACAAGAACATAGAGTGTGCAGCATAAGTTACTTTACCGTGAGTGATAAGATCAAAGAGAAATAATATACAAAAACAATGTAATATAAAAAGTAATAATAAAAATAATAATACAGTAAAAATATTAATATGTATTCTTTGTAAACCGACTTAATACCTCACCCTGAATATTGTGCCTTATGTACATCACGTGTTCCTAGAAGCGATAGGTAATAATGAAATAAATTTCCTATGTAACGTACCAAAGTAATATATAACCAAAATGTTGAGATAAACATTTTATAACGTTTCAGTTTTGTTAGATAAGATCTGTTATTCTATCTCGGTTCACTTCAAAGCTCAGCCCAGGATGTGATAAAGCACTTGTGCAACATTTCGAAACATCTGTTGAGGAAGAAACGTTTCGCCAGCCAGTGGCTTCTTCTGTCCAATACAGAGAAGATCGGTGGAAGAAGAGTAGTAGTTTGAGGTAATCAGTCCCTTAGCATGGAGTCAATGTGTTCAGTAGATTAATCTTCAAGATTGATGGACTGAACTCATCGACTCCAGGCTGAGGGACTGATTACTTCCAGCTCCTCCTCCTCTTCCACGTTCTTCTCTGTATTGGACTGAAGAAGCCACTGGCTGGCAAAACGTTCCCTTCTCAATAAAGATTCCCAAATGTTGCACAAGAATCTTATTCTTCAACCTCTCGGGTTTCTAAATCATTTATCACACAGAATGTGACCCACAACAGTAGATTAACATCTATGCAAAACAACCACTTTGAAAAAAATAGTGAACATCCAAAAGCTTTCGTGATTTCTCCCATTATCAAGAACATGTCCTTGATACAGTGAGAAATGACGAAAGCGCTTAGGAGTTCACTATTTTTTCAGTGGTTGTTTTGCATATTGTGATATCACCGGTTTAATGTTATCTTGTTTCATTAATATCTATGTTACAAATTTTACTGTCACCCGAAAAGGGCAGCGGGTGGTGTAAAGAGACTCGTCCGTTCGTTTCGTCCTGACCGGGAATCGAACCCGGGATGCTTCGGTTGTGAGCCCACGTCAAAGTATCCTTCACACTGTCACCATCACCAGCCCAGTACTCACACGCACACACTCCACATCCTCTATTCTTCACCGTTCACTTGATCAGCTCTCTTGTTCTTCCTGTGTTTGAGTCTCCCCTTTAAATCCTCCATTGCTTGCATCTCGGTCAGCGGATAACAGGGACCGACCTAGTTAAGAGTTGGTTTATAATAAACCACAAGTGTGCTATTAGGATATTTTATTGATGAAACGTTCGGTCACGGATGCCTTCAGGACTGAAGAAGTCGTTCGTGGCGAAACGTTTCCCCAATCTAATTTCCTAACACTGCACATGTTTGATTTCACTTCTCATAATACTAACATCGATGTTTTTATTTTATAAGCCTACGACATTTCTCCTCTATATGCTTACTCTACGTGAGATCAGGTTAGGTAGTTTTACATGACAATGGGTTAGGTTGGGCAAGGTTACATTACACTGGGTCAGGTTAGATTACTTTACCGTCAGTTAGCCGAATTTATTGATATAACACCCCAAAATTCAGCCAATAATTCATAAAGGTGAGAAAATGAGGACCTGCCAAATCACATTTTACCGAATAGTTAACAGCACTAAAATAGCAACGCTTCTTTACGTGGAAACGTTGAATAACAGACGACGTTTCGCTATAAACAGATAAACTTCATAAACTCTGAACTCAGACTAAGCCGTAATGAACGGCTGAAAATGAATAACCAGAAAGATGAACGGGAGGCTTGAACTCTGGTCCCAAAATTAGTAAACCTAACGCTCTACCAGATGAGCTACCAGCGTTGAACCTGCTAATTCTGAGACCACGGATCAAGTCTCCTGTTCCTCTTTCTGTTTGTTTATAAACTCTGTTGAGAGAGAAACAGACTTGATAGACCTCTACTTAGGGCGAAATGTAATCTATAAATACAGATTTACTCTGCACTATTTTTTACCACCATTAAGAGTATTGATTAGGGAAGGGCAGGACCTCAGAACTGAGTTGTGGAAGTGTGTTCTGGCCACAAGTCATGGCAGAGAATGTTCCTTCTAATGTGTACATGGAAATACACGAGTATACATGAAAGTACATGGGAGTATATGGAAAGACAGATAACAGAGGACTTTCCACACTGAGACTGTCTGCTGAGAAGAACTATCTGCTTCTATCCAGTGCAAGAACTACCATATACAATCTAAAAACCAGAAGGCTCTCTCACTAACCTTCATTCTATCCGACCTCTGCGGTCATGAAAAAGGGGGAAAAATATACTGTCACACTGAACAAAAAATGACAGAATTTACAGGAGAGATGAAAAAAAAGTATTTTTATAAACAATGACTATAGACGTTGGACAAAATAGAAAGTAATATCAAAATGTGGACGTTGGTTTTGTGGTACATTTTCCTCTTCAGTTTGTAGGTGGTGCCCCAATTTCTGTTCGCTTATCAACACAGTCTCGCCTTTATGTATTATTGATTACATTAGTGTCAATGCAATTTACGAGTGTGTGTACATAGCTTAATGGAGATTTCCGAACCTAACCTAACCTAGCATAATCTAGCGCAACTTAACCTAATCTAGCATAACCTAACAACTTAATCTAACCTAGCCTTACCTAACGTAATTTGACCTAACCTAGCATAACCTAACATAACTTAAACTAACCTAGCTAAAAATAACCTGAAGTAAGCTAACCTAATCTAGCTTAACCTAACCTGAAGTAAGCTAACCTAATCTAGCTTAACCTAACCAATAAAGCATAAGTAGATAAATCGTCTTAATAAAAAACGAAACCAGCTTTTAAGTTAGGAAGGCAAGTTGCTAATATCAGCTTCATAACAACACTTAATTTCATTGTATTCTTAATAACCTTAGAGAGAGAAACCTTGAATTCGACTCTGCTTGGGTGGAGAGTTGAATACATGGGTTCGAATCCTCTGCTAATCTACAATGAGTTTCTGTAAATGATAATGTTCATGTTTGAGGATTGATACAAATTGTTTCCATCCCTGCTAGTACTGTCTTCCGCTGTCTGGGAGTTTGGTCTGAATGTGTTGTGCGTTTTCGTGCATAATTAAGCTATTATCTGTGCCTTAAGTAAAATGTTTAGGAAAACATTGTTATATCTTGCATGTGATTCTTCAATGCACTTTTGAATACACTGCTGTGCATATGTATTCATGCCATTTATGATAATGCTTCAAAGTATCTCTCGTTTCACATCTAACAGCTCATGATGTGTCCGCCTCTCACATCATTTATGTGTAAAGAGTGAGAGCATCCTGATGCACTGCTCCTTCTCCCTGTCTATGCACCTGGCATGAAATTCAAGAATTGGACTTCAAAACATATCCATAATTCTTAAAGCTAAAGCCTCTGTAATAATATATATATATATATATATATATATATATATATATATATATATATATATATAAATATATATATATTATATATATATATTATATATATTATATAATATATATACACACACACGCGGGAGGATGGAAAATACTAGCTTAAGGCCTTTCATAATTTTCCTGCTTCGCCAAGAACTATGTAATGTTGCAAGAGTTGCAATAGATAGGCTGAGGAAAAAATTCTCTCAGAGGTAAGGTAGCGTGTCTGATGCAAAGCCTTGAGGTAGTGTTTCTCCATTATCCATCCTCCCGTGGCTTGTTTCACGCATATATATATATATATATATATATATATATATATATTATATATAATATATATATATATATATATATATATATATATATATATATGATCGTGTCTGCATATTTTAATTTATATTTTAAGTGTTTTGGTGTCATCAGAATAATGTTAAGAAATTCTATCAAAACAGCCAGTCCCATAAATTCCATTTTTCTCAAACAATGAGAAGTGTAGCAGAGAGAAAATAATCTAATGAAAATATATTTTTTCATCGCAACTTGATCCACTAAAGCTTTTATTTAAATCATCTTATTTTACCAAAAAGGTGCTCCTTTCTATACTGCAGAAACAGAACTGGTTGACTTATGACATTTTCGCTTTATCGAGACGTTATTTTTAGCTAATTTTATTGTCACGAATATAATTGCCTTCTGTTATCAAAACTGGATAGTAAAATTATTCTGTTTATCTCACAACTAACTCTCACGTTGGGAAGGGAACTTTTGATGATATTTCGGTGCACTGTTGCCTATTATCAAATCACAATTAAGTTTCCTCTCTAAAGTGTGAGTTAGTTATTCTAGACACGAATTTGTGGTTTGTATTCTTCACTTTAAGTTTTTCTGTTTATCACTAGTAAATACACTTTCACACTTAAGAATTGTGTATGCATTATTTGATCTATAAACAGGTGAAAATAAAAAACTGTAACTTGCAAAGTGTGAATATATATATATATATATATATTATAATATATATATATATATATATATATATATATATATATATATATATATATATATATATATATTTCCAACAAGTCGGCCGTCTCCCACCGAGGCAGGGTGACCCAAAAGGAAAATACTTTCATCATTCAACACTTTCACCTCACACACACATAATCACTGTTTTTGCAGAGGTGCTCAGAACACAACAGTTTAGAAGCATATACGTATAAAGATGCACAACATATCCCTCCAAAATGCTAATGTCCCAAAACCCCTCCTTCAGAGTGCAGGCATTGTACTTCCCATTTCCAGGACTCAAGTCAAAGATATATATATATATATATATATATATATATATATATATATATATATATAATATATATATATATATATATATATATAATATATATATACGATAATACTAACAGTAATATCAAAAGTACATAGGCTCAGAGAAAGACAAATTTTAGAAAATATTAAAACAATTCTTTTATTCTTCAAGAGTAGCAAGAAACACAATTTCTAATTTAACTTTCATAAAAAAATAAAATCCCTGTTGATGCTCAAGAACTCAACTCAGTTTTTCAGAATTCGAAAATAACCAGCCAAATATAATGTTTCATATCGTGTTTTGTGTCTGAGAGACGAGCTACCTTGATACAGTATTTTTGTAATACATATGAGTAAATTGGTCTATAAAAGAGAATATACATTCTCTGTCATTCACTGTTATACAACATAATTTGTAAAGACACATACGTAATGGCAGCTGATAGAAAAAGTTATATAGGGGGCACTGCCCAGAAACCCTCTCCAGATAAATTCCAGGTAAGATATAGTCACTAAAATATGCTCAATAGTGTCCTCAATGACAGCCAATATGACAGTATTATTACTATGTAACACAATATTATACTCGGTAACAGCTTAGAAAACCTCATAGTGTAGAGGACACTTCTCAGTGACTTGCGGAAACCCACATGGGAACAGAAACGGTGTAAAAAAGTGACTATTTTTTTCTTGTTCTGAGATCGTGTTTACTGTTGAAGGCCTCAGGTGGAATCTAAATATACACTTAATAAGACCTAAAATGGAGATCGAAATATATACAGCCACTTTCGATACTTCGTTTCTGTCTCCATCCTGGTTTCTTCATCTCAGACACTATTACACTTGCTGACATATTAAAAAAATCATGTTATACCTAATGACTCCATACAGAATGTTAAACTCGCTGAAAGCTGATGAAATAATATTACACCTGACAAACAATAACAATTTTAACACATTTCGAAATGCACATTAAAGCTACTGACATGTTGTTGACCTTGTGTCATATGGTTCTAAATCATGAAAATAAATAGAACAAATTACCAGTTTTCTCATAATGGTTAAACTTGCAATTCACAGCCTTCATAAGAGTGTCACGATAAAGCGAAGATTATTATTATTATTATTATTATTATTATTATTATTATTATTATTATTTAATTCATTTGAAAGTATCTGGGGAATGATTCAAGGAAGAGGAGGACAGCTCTAATTCTTTAAATCATCACCTTTTTCCCTCACAAGCGTCTATGCACCTTCCCTTTCAAGGATTGAATCAGGAAATGGGTGGGTTTAGAGTCTTTGTGCAGTATTTGATACATTATTTCTTTTCCTCTCACACTCCTATGTGTAGACCTGACCACCAACCAATTGCGCCACAACGCCTACACTAGCAACATCGACTTGGAGGACATCATTGAGGAAGACGAAGAAACTATGGGAGAACATGGTAAGATCTCTCCCTGCTTTTGTTCTTTGGCCTCTAGTGGAGTTTTGATGTCCTAACAAATGTAGTTCACTAAGTTACGAAAGTCATCGCTACTTCTTATGTATATCGGGTAACTACTTCGTTGAGGCTTATGGTGGCCGACTTTCATTGGTTTATTTGCAACATACACTACAATGAAATTATCGTTGTGTGGATCCAAATGGCAAATTACTTGCAGTAGTCAAGAAAAGACAACTTTTCGCACTGTGTAGAACTTGATGAAGTCACCGTGACAGGGTGACGCTCTAACACAGAGCGAAACGTTGTCCCAGTAACCTCTTGTTCTGCAGCATGTGTTCACTTCAACATAGCTTGAGTATTAACTTAAGTGGTTATAATCATGACCAGAATTTTTAAAGACGTGGACCGGTAAGCCAGCTGAGGGTCATCATATGGCTAAGACCCGCGTCAGAAAACACTTAACCTGTTTCCTGACAAACCTTACCTAACCTAATAGCTTGTGTTGATCCTACAGTACTTGAAAGTCAAAAATAATTATACTGTACTACTGAGTACAACTCATCACTATTAGTAATATTGTTTCTTTGTAGCAGCCACATCAGTGATGGATGAAGATGCTTGTAATATATCTCACACAAGACAAGTCAGGTTGCCAAGTCCAGCAAGTTATATCCTCTAGTTGACTCAGACACAACCACTTTTGAAGGCAGGCCTGAACATTTACAGAAATTGGGTAGACTCAAGAATTCCTGTCATTTTTTTTTCGAAACGCATGGTTAAAGTTAAAATTTCCCATTTAAAACTATATTTTCATATCTAAATGCCTTAGAAATATGATTATTATAGGTCACCCTTTGAGTACCCTAAAAACACATTCATCATTGCCTCTTTAAAAGTAACTTTGGTAATTTAAAAGTGGAATTAAATCAGGATTAGTTTTAAGGTTACACTTATCAGTAAGGAATTTGTCAGATATAAATTCCTTGAATTACATTTGATAAAGCCCTCCCGATTTTGAGTTTTTATTTGTTTTCAGCATTGCCGTCATATTTTGCTCTATGAACTTTTTTCATATTTGTATACAAATATTGTCATGCAAAATAACCAGTGAAAAAATAGTGAATTTCCAAGAGCCTTCGTGCTTTCTCTCATTATCAAGGATTTATGTGAGAAATCACAAAATCACTTTGAACTTCACTAGTTTTGCTCTGTGTTTGATTATTTTGCATATTATAATATCACCCATTCACTGTGATCTTATTGCACATCTAGTCATGTGCTGTATCTCACAATTAGCAGACGGAGGATCGAGCCTCCACGACTCTTTATGCCGAATGACCCATACGAGTTTACAGCTTCAGAAAATAAATATGTATGACAAGCATATTTCGTCCACTGGTCTATTAGCAAATAAGCCAATTAAAGAATAATGTAGGCCACCAAAATCTGCCCCTCACAGCTGTCCCTTCAGAATCACAAAACACACAAGTCTATGAGAAAAGAAATTACATTTCATGTGTCCTCAGTTTAGGAATATAGACTTTTTGTGTGTCGATATTTTATCGAGACGTTTCTCCACGAATGGCTTTTTCAGTCCTGATGAAGCCAGCACTGGCGAAACGATTCCTAAGATAATCTTAACATTGCACATGTGTTTGATTTGATATTTGTAGCTATTTTTTACCATCTCTTACTCAGTACGAACTTCTGTGTCATGCATACGATGCCAATTTTGCCCCTCTGAAAACCTCTTAGTGTCTATTTTGCCTTGATATTTGTTTCTTCATATATGTATGTGTATATATATATATATATAATATATATATATATATATATATATATATATATATATATATATATATATATAATTTATATATATATATATATAATTTATATTTATTCATGAGATACTTTGCTGGCCGTCCCTCAGTTTATTTTAAGATAGTTTATATAGATGCTCCCTCTCGCTGCTCTGTTGTACAACCCACCTCTCCCATCACCAAATAGTTCAGCAGGTCTTAGTTTTCTCTCCTCACCCTCATTGACTCCCAGTATTTCCTAAAATACTGCTAGATAAGTTATTCAGAGCTCTAACTTGAAGAATTTTATTTAATGAATAAAAATCACAGTTATATACAACACTTTACAACTTACCGCTGGAAAGGAGATAAATCTTTAGACTAAGTTTCGGTTCATTCTGAACAATTAAATTACAACAGAGTTCTTATTTGATAATGTATCAATATCAATCGAAATGTCGCCAATTTCTGGATAAGTTGTGAATTAATTAAATTGTATAATATCTAAATTTCGAGTAACTTTTTAAAGTTGGGTTTAAGAGGCACGTAAGTTCCCCCGTCTACTAACATGTTCATTTTTCCACTATAATGTACCTTGTCCATAATTACTAACGCATTTGCTTTGTTTTGTAAGGTGAAATCTAGGATCTTTCCTTATGCGTTAGTAATTATAGACAAGATAGATTATAGTGGAAAAATGAACATGTTATTAGAATTGGGGGGATTTACGTGCCTTTTAAAGTCTATTGACCAGACGAAGGTCATTAAGGCTACACATGATCTGTTCACCACTTGTTATGGATATTATTCCTTAAATAAAAATCAGAGTAAACAGTGTATATAAACAGATACACACTTCATCAAGTCACTGTTTCTAATTTTTTTTATATTATGTTACATACAAGATATTAAAATATTATCATTAAATAACAAATATTTTTTCGTTTAAATAAATTTAATAAAAAACATTTATAAAATATATTCTAATTAGAAAAAACATTGAAATACTGAAGGATTTTTTTATTTCTTTCGTGAATTTTAAAGAAAGACATTTAAAAAAGTAGCATCTTCAATTTTGTATAGAGTTACACATGTGTTTCAACTCTGTACCAGCGTGGAAATGGTGACAAGAGCGTTTAACTAATGCCTCAGTGGATGCTCATCCATCAACCCGTCCTCTTAGCTAATTTTTTTACATACGGTACTTTAAGTTGGTTATTAGGGCAATTTAGTTTAGGTTAAATTATATTCTCTTAAATTTGGATAGATTTTCTTAGGTCATTTACATTATCTTAGATGAGATTATGCCTGACACTGTTAGTTTAAGTCTGATCATATTAGGTTAGATAAGATAAACCTATACTAACCAAATTTAATAAATTATAACGAGAACAAAGTTGCAATAAGTTGAGAATATTTGTCAAAAATCAGAGTAAGAATATAAGGTAAAAGATACCATCACCCTTTAATAAAAACAGTAATGAAAAAAATAATTATAAGCATATAAAATGAGGCATGATATATAGATGAGATAAATAAAATATTGATGCCTTATTTCAAGTAATGAAAAATGGAACAAGAAACTGTATGCCTATATGAATCAAAATGAAAAAAAATATAGAATAATGGGTAAGAACTAGGACGAAGAACAGAGGTAATAGGTGTAGACGGGGTATGTCAGGCGCCATAGATCAGACTGTGGCATACTGGAAATGGGAGTGGAGTGGGCACAATATGACCTAGGTTCTCTGCTGAAGGTGGTGGCACGACATTGAGGGCAAGTGGCTAAATAGGTAGGCAGTCAGTCTTCATAGTCCTGAAGAATCAGAGTTAAATCATAGACTCTTAGCTCTCATTAAACATACTGCTTCCTTATTCCCTCAGTGGTTCACAGAAGCCAAATCCTATGGGCCGGGTTAAGCAAAAATTGAGATTAACAGAGAAATAAGATAATGCCATCTGAAGGCTGAAGGTCTCAAAAGACAATGGTTGAATCCATGTCTTTCTTAACTCGGTACAAGTAATCAACGACATGTTAAACAAATACAGTGGAAGGTACAAGATACAATCATTAAAACAATATCTCGGAGAACATCCTACTCGCTCAGGAAAGCAGAAGGATTGAAATAATGATCCTCTCTTAGCCAGGTCACAAGGTAAAGGTGGAAAGTAACTGAAGGGAATTGAATCCTCCACATCATAAGGCGAATCACCTCAGTGAGGTTAGGAACCTGAATTACAGGTAGTGCAGAATCCTGGTTCGACCAGAGTAATGGTGAACAAAACTACTGTAGGAACTCGCATGTATTCACTATACTGTAAATGAACTTTGAAAACCACTCTGTATGCTTATTTACACAATAGCTGCAAACTTTAGTAAACAGTTATACTATCCTCCAACAATAATTATGTGTGAATGAAGTTAAGTGATAAGTCACCTTCATTATGGGTGTATAACATGAGGGAATAAACCACCACCAGTGTAAGTGTATTGTGAGTGCAAGAACGAGTTGTAAATCATCACTATTGCGGATGTATAAAGTGAGTACAAGGTCATAAGCATCCCTACTCCAGAGCAACTAATAATACAATATCAAAATCTTTTAGAGTGGCGACTTCTAGGGCAAGGCAAGCTGCATGGTAGGCCGGAAAGTAAGTCATATATGATGCTCCATAGCTGGGCCCAGAGTGGAAGGTTTGTGCTCACCTAAAGTCAGGTATGGCTTGTATTGGGGTTAATGTGTCGGAGAAAGGAGGGGGTGTCTGTACCAGTGTGGGTGTGTGTGTGGGTGTGTGTTTTGGACAGTTAATTCAGGTGGGTATCTGCGATTATTGGGATCAGATCTGAGCTCCTGGCCTCGTGTCTTAACCTGCTGTTCTAGTTTTCATAGTTCATTAACCTTAGCTCCAGGGTTATTTACAAATTTCACAATTTTTTCTAGTGTCTTCACCGTTTTTTAACTAATATGGGTTCCATGCTGGTGCTACATACAGCTAAGCCGAACACACACATATATGTAGGGTCGTGGATGACTCTTTGTTGAAGTTACTGTAAGCTAATCTTTGACTCTTCAACAGCACACTTATTGCAGAAATTATTCAGAAATTTTTGAACTTATTTATAACTCCCTTATTAATGCCATTTTCCTCTTATACGCTTCAGTCATTTCTTCCCTCATTCAACGTCTTACAAGAGAATGTAGGTTAAGGAATTTCAATCTTCATATGGAAGAGCTCTCATTTGACATTTTGACTCTGGTTCTTCCTTACTTTGGATTATTTTTTGGTTCTCTGTTTCTCTCTCCTTCCCTGATTTTCATCACCTTGCATTTGCCGGAATGACGTCCATAGTTTGGCCATTCTTGCAGTCTGTTTAGGTCCTTATATAGCCTTCCCTTTTATTCACCAGTATTTAATCTCATTAACTTCATATCATGTGGAAACATGGTTGCCTAAAACTTGATCTTGTCAGGCATGATTGCGTTCAGCAGGAACAACACATGCTTGCTGCTCATGTCTGAATGCCTTTCCAGGTGCTAAAATGCTATTCTGATCCTTTTCATTTTTCTTAAATAGCATGTACCTCAAACAACAGGCCAATAGTTCGTTAGCTGTATTACCCTCTGCTTTAATATTGGAATGACATTTGCTTATTTTTCTAGCTTTCCAGACTGTGCCCTGTCTTCATTGACTTGCATATTTTTGCTGTAGGTTCACACATTTCCTCTATCTGCCTCACAACCAAGGAGGCTCCTAGACAGTACCATTGCTTAGCAACTTCTCCACCTCTGTTTCTGATGGGATTATATTATATAGTTTCCGGTTATATATCCGGTGACTACTGATGTACCTTATAACCACTGTTTTTTCGGTCACTATATCTTCTGAATCAGATATTCCCTTCTTCCCAGTTCTCAGTTATTATTTGCCTGTTTCTCCTTTTAAAGTTAGTTTGTTCTTTACTATCATTATCTGTTTGATGAAGTGTTAAACGAATCATAAGTAAGGAATGCACGAACACTAAATAAAACGTGTGTGAAAATTTGATAGAAAAATATGGAAATAGTTGCTAAAAAAAGGGGTAGAAGAGGTTTAGAAAATTTTGATTGACGAAAAGAAGGGAATCTCCTAATAATTGTCAAAAAAGATGATTCTCAACCACCAGAAATTATGCAAGTGCAGAACCACTAAAGAAGCTAACAGTCACTTAATAAAAAATAAAAATATAATCGAGAAATGAATGCAAATATATAAAAAAAAATATTGAAAAAATTTTAATTTTAAAGAATGAATTTAATAAGAGAATCCAGAGATATAGAGAAAATGAAATAACACGAATATCTAGGACACTGCTAATATAATAATCCTTTTGCTCTTATTTATAATTGAGGTGGATATACATAGGATAATTTGTCAGTTTATTTAATGAGCGAGTCATTACATGACCAACACCCCTATTTTAAGGAGTAATGCTTCCACAAAACACCACATAGATATTAAGCATTTTTAAAGAGAATAAAAACTAGTGACGTGAAATGTAAGCATAACCTCCTCACCACCCACTCAAACCTTCGACTCTTGGCCCACCTACAACGTAGTAGACCTTAGGATTTACCTGTTCTTCCTTGTATGTAAATAAGAAAGTGTGGTTATGGTATAACCACACATTGCACATTATTTACATACCGTCGGCTAATTCTATCATTGTCCATCTTTTGTTTTCTTGTACACCCTGAATTACATTGCACCACATCAGTAGTACAGTAATCCCTATTATCATCCCCTGGCGTAGTAAATTCATTGTAACGTAGATACAACTAGATGTAGTCAGTTTTGTAGGGTACAATAATTTTTCACTGGTGATAGAAGGTGATTAATGTTATTTTGACATTTTATTATCCCTCCTGATATATGACTACCCCCTGATTGTACGACAAAGATCATGCCTTGTTACGTTTTGCCTAATTTTGCTGTGTGCCTGTTGTGGAATATGTAATTTTATAGCTATCATGTAGCCCTAGAAGGCGAACTTGCTCGATAGCCGGATAAACGACACTCTGTGGGCATTACATTTTGTCTCATTTAACGCATTGTTGATGTAACAGATACTGCATTGCACGATCTTGTTGATCCAATTTTTTTGCATTAAATTTTTGTGTAAATGAGCTAGAGAATGGCCCGTGGTCCTGATATGGGGCCGGGTGTGTTGAACGTAGTGTGACTGCTTGAATATAAAGGTTAAGTGGTTCAGCTCTGCATGGTGGAGCTCATAGCTGGCCGGGTACCGTCCTGTTGCGGCCGTGCGGTAGTGTAGCCACGACTCCCTTATCCGTTACCGCTAGAGCGCAAACGTACCAACTGCTCCTATGCTGCTAAACAACAAAAAACAGTAATTTGCTCCTACCGTTACGGCTGCTGCTCCTGCTGTTACCGCTGTCGCTACTGCTGCCGCTCTGCCTGCTGTACCGCTTACCATGCATGGAGTAAGCATAGTGACACAGGCCTTTTCTTAACTAGACCTCTTCTTCTCGGTGCTAGTCCCGCCACCAGTCCAGCTCACCCTCGAGCGTCAGCTCAACAAGAGTATCCTCATTGGATGGAACCCTCCTCCGGACGCGCCTCCAGGATCCATTGAGTCCTACCACGTGTACGTCAATGGACTTCTTAAGACCACTGTGCGGGCGACTGAGAGAACCAGGGCGCTAGTTGAAGGAGTTGACTCCACGAAGGTAAGTGAGAAATCTCATGTTTTTTTTAGTAATTTCTATACAATATGAGGTATATTTATTTACGAAATACTCTGCCTGTGTTGAAAACTTCATCATTATTATTTATGGAGAAACGCTAAGTATAATGCGCGTGTATAATGCTAATGTTTAACGGAGTGAACTGGTAAGGTTTGGTTAGGTAAAGTGAGTTTTGTCAGAAAACAGAAGAAATTTTTCCTGATGCAGGTCTTAGTCATGTGGCCAGCAGCTGGAGCTTTTGGTCATCTAACCAAGGCCTTCTGCTGGCTTACCGGCCTACCCCTTTAAAATTTATGGTCGGACCGGTAAGCCAGTGGAAGGCCTCGGTCAGATGACCAAAAGCTCCAGTTTTGGGTCATCATTTGACTAAGCCCAGCGTCAGGAAAAACTTGTCCTCCTCCCTGATAAACCTTACCTGACCTGACCTACAATATTGTTATGAGTTATCAAGTCACTGACAGTGGCTTCGAGGGAACATAAACTAGAGTTTATCACTATTTCACGAAATCGTAATAACAGTATTGCAAGCAAACCACTCGCCATGGGTTCAGTCTCTACCCGTTCCGTGGTTTAGCACAGTCGTGTCGGGGTGAGAGTCATCCATGAAAACATGCATTTGCATTTCTGGATGAATCTTAGCCTGCGTGGTAGTGGTTACAGCTCTGGCCTGCTAGTTATGCCACTTACCGTATTTTCTGGCATATAAGGCGCGCCTTTTATCCCACCCTGTACCTTATATGCTCAGGGTAAGGGTTAAGGGTAGGCTTTAGGCTACTGTTTAGCTTAAAGTACTGTAATTAGCCCTTGAATACGTGCGCCTTATATGCCGGAAAATGCGCTAGGTTCAATGTATAAATGCTGCTGCTTCATCTCGTGCTCCTTGTTGCTATTTTGATCCGCAAACTCTGGCGTGACCTCCTGGGCAAATATCAACATGCCAAATATAAACTACCTCATATACTATTTTTGTCCTGTGGAGATCAATGGCTGGAAGAGCAAATAAGGTTTGACCTCCAGTGTCCCTTGAGTTTTTTTTTTTTTGGGGGGGGGGGGAGAAGGAATATTATGACTGAAGAAGAAAAAATCACAATATCATTGGACCGAAACGTCGTCATGAGCTTTTCTCTATGTGCTGGTTAATGTTTCATGAATTTGTATTTAGGCTCTATTTGCTAATAATTTTACAAAAAACAATCTCGTCAAAGATATACTTCAAGATGATTTAATGTCACTTAAAAATTAATTGGAACTGAGGCAGTATGTAAAAAAAAAAACTTACAGTTAATAACAAATACAATTTTGAAATATGAAATACGATTATTTCCCTAGGTTCCCTGAATTAAGCTTGAATAACTTCCCCTCCCACCCCCCTACAGGCGCTGTATACTCCCTACGAGTTTAGCGATTCCCCATAATAATCCTATATTCAAATTAATAAATCTACAATGTTCCTTACAATAATAATAATAATAATAATAATAATAATAATAATAATAATAATAATAATGAGCTTCAAGTGCTCGCCTGACCTACAGGTCAAGTTTCTTCTAAATATAACTCTCTAATACTATTTTTTGGTCACACGGACATAATCGATTTTTAACTGCAATTACAAGCTGACTTGTTTTCTCGGGAAAGAAAAGATTTTGACTCGCAATTGGGGGGGGGGGATGGATGTGGAAGGCATTCAGGTTTAATTCAGGGAACTGGAGCGCAGATCTAATTCCCTAGATCAAGAGCCCATCACCAACTTCAAAAAACCTTCTTTGAGGGGCCTTGCAATTAAAAATAATGAAACACGACGATGCAATGCGTAATGGAGTGATTTGCTTGTGACGTGGGATGTCTGTGTTTACGTTTTGTGTTGCTGCTCACTCTTTCTCCTTGTGTTCGGTGTTTGAGTTAGGCGAGTCAGGCAGTTGGTGACATTTACATTGCATCGTCATCCCAAATCTTCGCTGTATTGGACTGTGGACACCACTGGTTGGTAAAACGTTATCCACGATAAAAATTCCAAACTGTTCCACGGATGTCTAATTCATCATTCATCATCAACGTTGTTAGTGCATTGTTTCTCATGTTGGTACTGAATATCGTGGTCGTTTAATAATTGTGCAGCTTCGAGAGTTAACATTTAATAAATGAATGTCTGATACATCAACTATGACTATTGTATTTACCGCTAGTATGTCTAATGAGTTCGTGCATAACTCGGATCCAGACACACACTCCTCACTTGTTGGAGTCAGTGGGTTCGAACATACTAAGGTACACATACTGTTTTTAAAACTTAAGATAATAATCACATTAATGATATTCAATACCATCAATCAATACTATTGTCTCTCACTCCACCGTTTTCCTGGGCATAATGGCGATAACATGTCTAATCGTTACCCTGGTGTATCGAGATGCTTACAGAAGGCAGGTGGTAACATGGCCCCGGCCACCTAAGGTTGAATTTACTTCCCTTCTGCTCGAATTAGCAAAGGTAATTCTAGACTAGACCAGGAAGCAGCGTGCTTTTGTCAAGGAGTATGACAGAGTGAATAAGAAGAGATTATAATCTTATTAGTGGTGAGAGTTTAATTATTTAAAAAATCAATATCATTAGTATCACTTTATGAATTTGTTGAATCGTTCAAGAATCAGGCTCCAGATTTTTAGTGGCAGGTCGAGCAATTGGCTGCACTTGTTTACACAGACTTGCGTGGGAAAGCGTAATAATATACGGCTTGCTGGCGTGACTAATGCTATGTAAACGGTGTTTTTGTGTAAAGGTTATTAAAGTATTCCAGTGAAGTACAGACGTGAGTTTAGATTGAATGAGCACTAAGCAGGACAGTAGTATACGTTATTGTTTGTTTACCTTGTGAGTGCTGACTCAGTCTCGTGGAGAATGTCACATTACTTTCGCTAGAATAATTCTCAACTAACCCGAAGTTTTACAGAGAAAACTATAGACGGTGTTTTTGTCCACCCTTGAAAATTTCCAAGTCACAATTGAGAGAGAAAAACAGCTGAAACCAGAGGACGATTCGGTCAAGGAAACGTCGTCAGAAACTCACGTCTAAATTGTGGATCAGATGTGAATCCATTTCATACTCATTGTTTCAAGTCTTGAGCTTCACACTCACCCTGCTGAAGAGGACCTCAGAAGGAAGGTCGAAATATATAGATTAATCATCAATCTTCTAAGTTTCTGTTACCATATGGATTATTATTGATCACTAAATGTTCACTACACTTTAGATATTCATAACTATCTAGTGTAATACAGTTGTCAGACTGAAATCAGTCGTTGCCATTATCAATATTAACTGACTCCGGTATTCCTTGAATTCTTCGCAAAAGAAAGATATTGATTGATTTGTTAATCGACTTTGTATTCATTGTTAAAATATAGCTAAACAGAATCAGGTGACAGTAAGTTTTCCCCAAATTCTTATATTGTTACATGACTAAAACTCCTGTCTGTCTGTCTGTCTGTCTGTCTGTCTGTCTGTCTGTCTGTCTGTCTGTCTGTCTGTCTGTCTGTCTGTCTGTCTGTCTGTCTGTCTGTCTCTCTCTCTCTCTCTCTCTCTCTGTCTGTCTCTCTCTCTGTCTGTCTCTCTCTCTGTCTGTCTCTCTCTGTGTCTCTCTCTCTCTCTGTCTCTCTCTCTCTCTGTCTCTCTCTCTCTCTCTCTCTCTCTCTCTGTCTCTCTGTCTCTCTCTCTCTCTCTCTCTCTCTCTTACACAGGGTTTGACAAGGTTAGGTTAAGGATCCCTAGCTTTGTTGACAAGCTATTTACAGTTTAAGGATTCCTAACTTTATTGGCAATCTCTCTCTCTCTTTCATTGATAATAGTCAATGCAAATTTAACTGCAATATATTTTAAATTAAAGAAGAGGAAACATTTGCATTGGCTCGTACGCCAGTCCATGATGGTCATGAAGGACTCTGCCGCAGTTCAGCTCCCAAGTCTCCTGGTTATTCCTTAATGGAAAGTGTATTTAGCTATAGCACAGTCAGTGTCTGTAAGGCATTAGGATATTGTTCGTTTTGAGGAAATCTTAATTTCAGCATAAGCAGAGCAAAAAACGAATAAAATAAGAATCCAAGAGGGCTGGACGTCTGCCCATTCTTTGACTGGTTTAGCTTAGATTTAAACGGTGTGCTGTTGGGAATAGGTCTGGGCAGCAGGGGTCAATGCACCCCGCTGCCCAGGAAGACTCCAGGAGTCTGTGTTACTTATAAAAGATATTACATGTTTCTTTGGTCATTGGCTTCAGTTTTAAAGGAACATCTCTGTCTCTCTCCCTCGTTCTCGCTCTCTCGATCTCTTCATTATTCACGCTCTCGACAGAAACCACATGAATTCTTTCTTTTACAAAGGTAACATCTGTGCAAAAAAACTCCACTAAAAGGATTTCTTTGTAATTTGGTTGCGTTTAGACGTTTTGTTGCATAATTATGACAACAAATGTGACATTGAAACTCGTTCCTCATCAAAACCCCACAACAAAACTCACGACCTACGCCAAATACCCTCGTAATACACAAACCTATAAACTCTAATCTCCCTCTACCTTTCTACCCTTGAAGGGAAGAGGGCTGTTTCTACTTCCTCTCTCTCACTCTCCATTTTTACTCTTCCTATCCACAGCTTCACCGCATCAGTGTACGGTCGGTGACACCAAACCGGCGTACGTCGCGCGACGCGGCGTGTACGATGGTGATCGGTAAGGACGCTCCGTTGGGTCCTACAAGCGTCAAGGCTACGTCCATTACCTCCACCTCGGCTGTCATCTCCTGGCTACCGTCAAATTCCAACTTCCAGCATACTGTGTGCGTCAACAATGTCGAAGTTCGCACCGTCAAGCCGGGCGTATATCGCCACACCATCACTGGTAAGTGTATTATTATTATTATTATTATTATTATTATTATTATTATTATTATTATTATTATTAGCTCCTCCACGCGAATAAATTGCTGGTTTACCTCCTCCACACAAATATATTAATTAAAACTAACGTCAACCTGTTCATGGAGAAAATAAATATTACCAGATCAAAGTGCAGTTTTAATTACACATTAATAATAACAATAATAATAATAATAATAATAGTGATAATATCGATAATATCTTTAGGTTCTGAACGATATACGGCTTATGTTGATTTTATGATGGTATCAAATAAATTTATATACAATACCGACAGGTTGGTAGGTAAGACACACAGGCAACAGTTAGGCAACTTTATTCCGAAACGTTTCGCCTACACAGTAGGCTTCTTCAGTCGAATACAGAAAGTAGGCAGGAACAGTAGAGATGTGAAGACGATGTAATCAGTCCATCACCCTTGAAGTCGTAGATTTGAGGTTATCAGTCCCTCGAGGCTGAAGGATTGACAATCTCAAATCTACGACTTCAACATCTTCACATCTCTACTGTTCCTGCCTACTTTCTGTATTAGACTGAAGAAGCCTACTGTGTAGGCGAAACGTTCCGGAATAAAGTTGCCTAACTGTTGCCTGTGTGTCTTACCTACCATCAAATAAATTACAAGCATAGGAATTTAATAATATATCTGGTTCTTAATTATATGACTGATGAGGTAGTTGTTCAAGAATAAATTGTTTGTGGTTCTGAAGTTTAAATTATTCTTACCCGTATATTATTTGTTATTGCTATATTGTTCATTTCCACTCACCTTTGTGTCTCAAGCAATATATTTTGTAGCTCGTTATATTCACTCCCTATATCACCGCCTCTGCTGACCACCAGCACAACACACTCAACACTTTACATTATATATTTGCACTGATAAAGTCACTGGATGGCGAAACGTCTACAAAAGGTACCAAGATGTTGCACATGTGTCTAATTCTTTAACATACTCTATGCCACTCGAGAGAAAATACTGACACGATGGATAAAGACAAATAGTGTAATGTGATCCTTCATTGACAACGTTTCGCCTGCACAGTGGACTTCATCGAGTCAAAAACATCGGGCTTTATCAGAATGGATCTATTGGTGACTGGATGAAGCTCACTTTTTGGGCGAAGCTGTGTCAGTAAAGGATCGCATTATACTGAACCTTTGTGTTCATCTACTGCCACAACAACCATCACCAGTATCACCACTAACACACATCACAACAACCAACAATCAACACCTCACCACCACCACCTGCCTTCTCTCTCTCTCTCTCTCTCTCTCTCTCTCTCTCTCTCTCTCTCTCTCTCTCTCTCTCTCCTCTCTCTCTCTCTCTCTCTCTCTCCCTACAGGACTGTCTCCCAACATTATCTACCCTCTCTCTCTCTCTCTCCCTACAGGACTGTCTCCCAACATCACCTATCCTCTCTCTCTCCCTACAGGACTGTCTCCCAACATTACCTACCCTCTCTCTCTCTCTCTCCCTACAGGACTGTCTCCCAACACCACCTACCCTCTCTCTCTTTCCCTATAGGACTGTCTCCCAACACCACCTACCCTCTCTCTCTCTCTCTCCCTACAGGACTGTCTCCCAACACCACCTACCGTGTGACCATCAGGGCTAAGAATCTACGAGCCCCCCAGTTTGATGAGAAGGCCACCAGGAACCAAGATCGTCTCTCCACCACCATAGAGTTCAGGACGCTGCCTAAGGGTGAGTACTCGACACATTCCACACCCTAACTACTATGTTTGCTAAATATTCATGTGGGAGAGATCTTTTAAAAAAATGTGGCTTCATGATCCGTCATTAAAATCTCTGCACGATTTTATTAGGATTTTTTTAAAATGGGTAGTGTCTGATTTCTCTCTCGAAAATAGTTCAAGATAATTATGGCAAGAAAACACTTTAGCATTGTTCTGTAATTCAAAGGAGTGTCCGATAGTTTCGTATATATTATTTTGATCATAAGTCACGAAATCATAATAACACGACTACATATAAACCACTCTATCGTGGTTTATTCTGATCATAATTATAGTGAAGTAACAGATTGGTTAGCCATACAGCTCCTGCGAAATGAGCCACGCTTAGCTTGTTCTGAAGAGAGAAGGTAGCTCGAGTTCCTTGGATGAAGAGCTGTCTGTGTCAACACATACGCCCTGAAAGGGAGTATATAACATAAGAAACTGTATCCAAAAACACTCGAGTCAGGACATGCTGTGTAATATCTATTTAATGCTTCCTAATGAGTGGAATTATAACAATCGTTTAAAGGCATAAACAGAAGACACCTGGCTGAGATGCTGTGTCTGGAGAAGTTATTAACTAGCACTTACCTCTTGATAGCTAATGACTGTGTTAGCTAAATTGTATCTTATTTGTAATATTACGAAATCATAAGTTATCAGATATTTACTTAAGACGACAGGCTTATTTTATGAATTTCTCAGTATATGTACACCAAAATCACCTTGATGGTATGTCCTTGAAACCCTGTGGGATGTTTATGGTCATATCTGTCATGGCCATATATGTGCATTTGCCGTGCCTAGTAACTTACCATGTCTAGTAATTCCCTCTCTTCCCCCGGCTGTAATCATTACACCTACAGGTATTTGGTCCACAGACCTAGTCCAGCTCACAGAAACTTCAGACAAGACTGACAATTACTCAGTCGAGCAATCCTAAGAATAGTTGGGCACGAAGATCACTCTCGTACCCAACAGATGATGCATTGATGCAATAGAAGCACACCTTATTATTCACACTCGTCTCAGTACGTGCTGTGGAAGTCAGATTTCCCTGCTCATTAACACAACAAGCGTGTACTAAATGCGCATAATTTTCACGAACCCCACGATAACTACCTATTCTAAAAATTTTGGTTTTCCTGAAAGAAAACAATACAAGTACCCAAACAATGTTACCAAATTAACATTCAACAGCCTTGGGCTCCCAGCGACCTCATGTTAGGCAGGAAACAGCCCTAACTTTTACTACTAAGCTTATCTTCCTTTGTATAAATCTCACACTTTAATATACTGTACTGTACTGATAATGCTTCCATTATACATGACGACCGAACTTTCCTTTAAAGTTTATCGGATATATAAATTACAGGTGATCAAAACTTAAGTATTTCCTAGTATTACTAAAGACATAATTCAAAGACTCGTCAGAATCAGAAAGAAATCAGACGATTTCTGGATGTATTAATTTGTGTATTAAGGAACATGGGATAGACGTGTTTGCTGAGAGAAGTGGACAGGTTCTCAGAACAATGTTAATACTGGCCAAATCATAGTGATGCCATCACAGTACCATTATAGTTACATAGAGAATGAGCTATTTTGAGGCTCGTAAACTAGTCCCACAAATGAGAACGAATGAGCAACATTTAAGGCTCACCACACGCATAAATTACATAAAACGGCTCATGTTTCCACATTTCATAGCCCATTGTCTCAGATTTGCCAACATCATTTTTCCCTTTGCACACGTGTTGTTTTTGTTGGATTATGTGCAATATCTCAATTATCACCAATTCTATTCTAACCAATGTATTACACAACGAAGACGCGGCACCTTACGTTGGTAAGTATAATCACTACGGCGTGTGGGCGACCCTTGTGGTCACCTTTGTCTCCACTTTCATGCTTGCCTCTCTCCACACACGCATTTTTGATGCCCAGTCGTGACCTCACCTCTACAGTGAAGGAAGAGACGTGAACGAGGTAAACTACCTTACTTCTGACCCCATGAATTGAAAAATACAGCCATAGGAATACACGCTATTTTCATTCTTGTTTATTGTGGAACGTAAATGTCGTGTGCAACATGGGCTATCAGAATCTGCTAGCAAATTCATACTCTCAAAAATTACTAGCTGATGATTCAAGGACTTCTAGCTAAAATTACCATAAACATTCTTGTCTAATACATGGGATGGGAAGTTTTTAGGTAATGCATGTTATGAGATATAGAGGGAAAAATTATGAAATTCTCAGTGCATTAAAAACTGATCACTCGTTACTATATTCTATTGAAGAAAGAGATACTTTTGTAACATTTGGGAAGATTCATTGGGGAAAAGTTCCGCCAGATAGTGGCTTCTTCAGTCCAATCCAGAGGAGAACGGAGGAAGATGAAGAGTATTTTAAGGTAATCAGTCCTTCAGCCTGGAGGAGAGTCAGCTCCATGGTCTGGAACGATATCGTTCCAAACCATGGAGCTGAGCTTTTCTCCAGGCTGAGGGACTGACCACCTCAAATACTTTTTCTCCAAGATTGATGACTGATTACATAATTTTTTTCTCCATTACCACTGCTGATTCTGTATCTGACTAAAGAAGCCTACTATGCGAACGAAACGTTACAGCAATAAAGATAACCGACTGTTGCACATGTCTTAATCTTCAACTTGTGAAATAATCGGTAATTCCACTGTGATGTCACGACTGGGGCTCTATATATGTTTCTTGGCAGCTTTTTCAAGCTCCTCTTAAACGACGCATGAGGTGGCTTGCTCACTCAATAAAATAAGAGAGTTTGATGCATTTATCGCTTGCTAATGAACTGTTGCTTCTAGTATGGATCCTCTTACTGCCGAATTCTTGCAACAATTTTTTCCTCCCCTTCGTGTAACTAATGCCTGTCTGTGGTGAGACTGGTAGCTTGTGGGACTCGTGTATTAGTACTCACAAGCTCAATCTCTGCAGTGATCACGACGAGAGAGATCTTTTTCTTACTAAGCTGCTTACTGACCTCACGAGGGTGTTTTGCGCTTTCTGATATACAACGCCATTATTAATTGAAAATTTTTCTAAGAATTTGAAATAAAATGAAATTAGTGATGTGATCTGGGAGAATTATACTGAATCTTTAAGTATTTCTTGAAAAAAGTTTTTTTTCTTCAACTGCAGTAATTTTGCAAAATAATGTAGTATGACGCCATGATCTCAGATATTCAGGCG